TGTACCAATATTTATGTGTTCAAATAAAATAAATAAATAATTTAATTCGCACTCTTACTTCAACGAGGTGCAGAAGTAAATAAAGCCAAAGCGAATATAATTGCATTATATTTCGTGGTTGCTCATCTGCTGCTTACAACCAAATCTGTATTTAAAGTTAACCCTGATGTAGAATATAGTGTGAAACAATTGACATAATTGAATGAAAAGAATAGGGATGACAAAGGTTAGCAGTCATATATATATATGCTCAGACAATCGTTTATTTTTAGCAAACACAAATTTTAAGCATAAGGAGAGACATCGTCTAACATGGCGACCCCCTACACCAAACCAACGATGGACTCAAATAGACCATATTGCCATCAGTCATCGTTGGAGAGGGTCGGTAGAAGATTGTCGCTCATTCTGGAGTACCTGCTTGGACTGCGACCATGCCCTAATACGAGCACGCATCTGCTTGCGCCTCACTGGACGCAAAAAAGCCACATTAAAAAGACCCATTAGAACTGAGTTGAGTAACGAGAAAACCAAAAGTAGGTTCCAGGAACAACTGAGGTCACACTTAGGTAGTTGTGAAGACGAGGCTGACCCAGATGTTGTTTGGAAGGGCATACAATCAGCTGTGGAAACAGCAGTGACATCTATTAGTGACTTAAACCACAGAGTTGCAAGGACCCAGTGGATTTCTTCAAGGTCTGTCACACTGATGGATTCTCGCAAACTCGTCCCACCGGGTTCTGAACATGATGAAGAGCGAAAACAAATCAGATCTAGGTTAAGAAAAAGTCTAAGGAACGACCGTGAGCAGTGGTGGGTAACGAAAGCAAAAGAGATGGAAAAGGCGGCGACTATAGGGAACACAAGACAGCTTTACAGACTAATAAAAGAAACTGGAATTAATGAGTCAAGTGTAAGTGAGATTATTTCGGAAAAAGATGATACTCTCATCTGCTCCCAGTCCAGACGTTTAGAACGATGGGCGGAACATTTTAGAGAACAGTTCAGCTGGCTTTCAGCTACTCTACAACTACCCTCCATTCCCAGACAATGTGAATGGAACATTGAAGTAGGCCCCCCAACTCTTGCTGAAGTTCAAAAGGCTATAGTTAATCTGAAACGAGGAAGGGCAGCTGGTCCAGATAGATTGGCTCCAGAGGTCTTTAAGGATGGTGGTCCAATTTTAGCGATTAGGTTGACTAATATTTCAGCTAAGATCTGGGAGTTAAACATTATTCTATCTGACTGGTCGCAATCACTTATCGTCCCAATATATAAGAAAGGGTCAAAATCATCCTGTGACAACCACAGAGGGATTAGTTTAACAAACATAGTATCTAAAATACTGGCCTCGATAATTATCAAACGCCTAACTAAGACTCGTGAACTACAAACTCGAGAGAACCAAGCTGGCTTTAGACTTGGTCGTGGCTGAATCGATCACATATTCACCATTCGTCAGGTTCTAGAACACAGGCATACCTATCGGCGTTCGACGATGGTGATCTTTCTTGACTTAAAAGCAGCATTTGACTCTGTAGACCGCGAAACTCTGTGGCAGTGTCTGTCATTGAAAGGCGTACCTTAGAAGTACATAAACCTTGTGAAGGCTCTTTACTCGAACACTACTAGTCGAGTCAGGGCTTATGGCGAACTGTCATCTACTTTTGCAACTTCAAGTGGTGTCCGTCAAGGCTGTCCACTTTCTCCATTTTTGTTTAACTTCATCATAGACCTATTGATGGAAATAACACTCTCGTCGACTGAATTCTCGGGTATTGATCTCCTTCCAGGAGGTCCACTTATCGACTTAGAATACGCAGATGACATAGTCCTGTTTGGTGAAGACGCTGACAAAATGCAGAGTCTTCTGGTAGCACTAAGCAACAATGCCAGAATGGGATGCGCTTCTCTCCCTCTAAATGCAAGTTGTTGCTTCAGGACTGGTCTGCATCAACACCTGAACTAAGGATAGGGAGTGAAGTAGTCGAACGCGTTGACAACTTCACTTATCTTGGAAGTCTGATCAGCCCTAATGGGTTGGTGTCTGACGAAATTTCAGCACGGATTCGAAAAGCTCGTTTGGCTTTTGCCAACTTACGTCACTTTTGGCGGATGCGAGATATCCGTCTATCAATAAAAGGACGAGTGTACTGCGCGGCAGTTCGTTCTGTCTTTACGGCAGCGAAACATGGCCTTTAAGAGTAGAAGACACCCGTAAGCTACTAGTATTTGACCACAGATGCCTTAGAAATATTACTGGCATCTGCTGGGATCACCGGGTAAGTAATAGTGAGGTTCGACGCAGGGTATTAGGGAATGATGGTAAATCAGTTGATGAGGTTATGAATCTTCATCGACTGAGATGGTTGGGCCACGTATTACGTATGCCTGAACACCGATTACCACGACGTGCAATGCTAACCGGTGTAGGGGATGGTTGGAAGAAAGTTAGGGCGGCCAAACCAATACGTGGCATCAGTGCCTGAAGTCACTAACTTCTAGTCTGAGCCATGTTGGTAGATGCAGACTACTTGGTTGGGGTCCGCGTGACTTTCGTAACCAATGGTTGGAGACTCTTGGCGACATGGCTCAGAATCGATCACAATGGCGTCGGTGTATACACTCCCTGTCTTCCCTTAAACTAAGAGATTAAAATCACTTCATATCTTTCTTTCTGCTAACTAATTCTTTCTTCCTATACTATATCCTTACTGCAACCTTTGACCTAACCACTCCTATGAATCCGGTGTTCATCTTGCTGTGCTAATGAGGTATGGCAACCTGGGCCGATGCACATATGTGCCTGGTCCTACGTTGTAGCTGACTGACTGACTGATATATATATATATATATATATATATATATATATATATATATATATATATATATATATATAAGCAAGAACAGGTCAGAGGTCATTTGGTGTGGATGATGAAATAATTGAAGATCTAAATGTACATAAAATAATAATTCCGTAATGGTAGAGCGATATAACAGACTACGCATTAACAAAATGACCCAAAAACTGAATTACCAAGGTAGTAATAAGTTTATTACTGTATCTTTTTGAATATGTAGATCAGGTTTGAGTTTTTTTACCTCAATGGCTTCGGCAAACCAAAGAGAAGCAGTATTTCTTTGTCTGTTATTAATTTTGAAAGATTAAAGAATGTCAATAGTATGCCCGGTTTCAAGTTAATGCCTATCTATTGCACTGTTGAGAGCCCTTACCACTGGTAGTCTCAATTTATTTGGGACATGCTCGGAAATGAGGATATATACTGTTCTCTCGGTTCTTCCAATGTATTTGCTTTGGCACGTACATATAAATTGGCAAATGCAGTTGGAGCCTCTGAGAAAAGAGGACCTGTCCATTTTAGTTTGTTTGAGCGAGTAATTCGTTTCCCTTAACGTAATCAGTTTTCTTGATGGGTAAGTCACTCTTAACGTGGAACTCATCTTGTGACTTCATCTCCTTTGAAGCACAAGTATAAGAAGCAAGTTTTCTTTTCAACTGTATCGTATTTTACTCGAAGGTTGGTTTTGTCATACTTTGGATCACTCTTCCATAAACTCGTCTGATGGATGACAAGGTGTTTAGAACCAATTTGTAAGAAACTAGCACCTTACAGTCTGAAGGTAATTTCGAAATTGTACAAAAGCTTGATAGCCTAAATGCTTCCGATAAATTCATGGTCTTGTTTGATGTCTCATCACTCTTCACAAAGATCCCTTTGGAAGGAAAGTCAGACATCATATGTGAATATCCTAAATTTCTGCACTTAAGAATCCACAAACTCAAACAGCTCCTGTTTCTGTGTATCAAAAACATACAACTTCAATTTAGCATTGTGTTGTACCGCTAAATTGATATAGTGGCCACGGATAGCACTTCGGGTTCAATTCTGGACAATATATTTATGAGAAACCTGAAACAGAGGAAGCTCAAGCACTCAGTATATGGAACTACGCTCTACTGTAGATATATTTATGTCACATTTCTTCTCTGCAACAGTCATAAGTATTCCATGAACATGCTCGATCTGTCTAACAAAGCATACAACAATATCGATTTTACTATGGAACATAAAGTAGAAGGTAAATCACATTTTTTAGTTATTTTCTCGATCCTTTCAATGTATGTGCTTTGGCACGTACGTACAAATTAGAAAATGCCGGGCATACTATTGACATTCTTTAATCTTTCAAAATTAATAACAGACAAAGAAATACTGCTTCTCTTTGGTTTGCCGAAGCCATTGAGGTAAAAAAACTCAAACCTGATCTACATATTCAAAAAGATACAGTAATAAACTTATTACTACCTTGGTAATTCAGTTTTTGGGTCATTTTGTTAATGCGTAGTCTGTTATATCGCTCTACCATTACGGAATTATTATTTTATGTACATTTAGATCTTCAATTATTTCATCATCCACACCAAATGACCTCTGACCTGATTGCTAACCTTTGTCATCCCTATTCTTTTCATTCAATTATGTCAATTGTTTCACACTATATTCTACATCAGGGTTAACTTTAAATACAGATTTGGTTGTAAGCAGCAGATGAGAAACCACGAAACACAAACGTGGCATTAGCTCATCCAGTTACTAACTTCTATTGGTATGAGTCATGTTAGTAATTGCACAATACCTGCTTGGCGTCCACGTAATAACTATTTTCAGTAGTTGGAGACTTCGTGTGATATGGTTCAGAATCAGTCACTCTTAAGTAGTGTATACAATCTTTATCCTTCTATCAATCTTGAATCCCAGTACTTCTTCACAACATGCTCTTTTCAGAACATGTCTCCAAGGTTTAGAGATTCTTTTTATCATTTCTATTACATCATTACTATCTGTTTTGTTGATCTCATCTCATCTTGTTTTAATATGGTATGGGGATTTGAGCTGATACATTGTTTGGGACAGAATCTATGTTGGTAATATTTATCTGTTTTTACACTATCAGTTATAAATTTATTTCTTTTTTAGTAAAACTTTGGCTGAACATGCTGTAATCGCTAAAGTCAACGGAGAATTATGGGATTTATTACGCCCTTTTGAAAAGAGTTCTAGCCTCGAGATTTACAATTTTGATCACAAAGATGGTAGGTTGTTTTCTGCTTAATTTTCTGGAAAAGTTTCAGGAGTTTTTCCATAGAACATGAATAATTTTGTTTTGTGTTGATTTTCATTTCGTTTATTGTTAGTTGGTATATTACGGTTGTCATATAACGTATACTTCATTCTAATGCTATTTTGTCGTCACTTGGATTTTAATGCTGTTTATAAAAAATACCATACTGATCTATATTTTTCGCAAAATTACGGTCAATTGTTACTACTACTGAGAGTATCAAATACCACTGGACTGAATTCAAGGGATATTATACAACATTCTTATCACTTGTATTCCAATTTTCGGTTATCTAAATTCATTAGTAATCTCGGAAAAAATGGTTCTAGGATTTCATCTATTGTTCATATAATAAATTGACTCATTATCGACAGACTAATCGGCCTTAAGGTTTGACAAACATTAAGGTCTATTCTGTAATTTCACAATGTTTATCTTGTTTAGCTCTAGATTTTGTGCAGTCATATCACGCGAAATTAACTCGTCTATAAGGATGAAAATAATCGTCGAATCGTAACTTATCGATGAAAGTGCTCAACTTTCATGGGTTCATATCCTGTTCCATCTTCACATTTAACGAGTAAAGTAGGATAATTAGCTCATATTAATTATGTGATTCAGGATATTGTTCATAAAATTGTAATGAATTTCTATTTTTCTATATTAGACTTAAATTTAGTCATATGATTGTTACTGATCATTATGAATATTATCTTTTGGGTCAGGTTAGTATGTTTTGGGTAAAAAAAAGATGAAATAAATTTTGGGCTCAAGTTAAATTCCTCATTTGATTTAAAATGCTGATTTCATGTACAAGTAGTGTTGTTTTGTAAATTTAAATCAATTAGTCAATTCCAAAAATATTGAATGGCAGTCTTGAAAATTTTTTACTGGAATCGTAGACTTTCACAGTTTCGCATCACTGAGTGAATTTGATTAGAGAGCCATTGAAAATATAAAAAAACACTGGACAACATCTGTCTCATCTTAGCATGGGGCTCTTCAACAATGTACGTCCAGGATCTTACCAAGGATTAAACTTAATACTTTTAAGACTTACAATAAGCGCTTAAACTTCATACCACTGATTTAGTATCCACAGGTCCTATGTTCAATGGCTAGTTGAGTCGTGGATGCGCACCGTTAATGAGTCTCGCGTTACGGTGAATTAACTGTCCAGTGCTTCCTTGCTTTTAATTTTTCTCTATCTAAAGTCAATCTGTACTATGAAATTTCAAACTCAACAATCTTTAAAACAACAGCAGTAATACTTGGTTTTTCAAATTTATTTATCGTTTATTTTAAGGTCAATATGTATTTTGGCATTCATCTGCCCATGTTCTCGGTGAAGCCTTAGAACGTTGCTATAGTGGACATTTATGCTATGGACCACCTGTTGAGGAAGGATTTTATTATGATATGTGGGTCCCTAATCAGTAAGTTTACAAATATTTCTGTAAGTTAAAAATTACTCACTTTGTCAATTTTGATTGTTTTTGTGAGAATATATGAAGAAGTGTTGAAGAAATGTTTGAGCATGAGTTTATGTATTACTGTGAATTAAATAAGTTGATATTTATATGAACACATGTTTTTTTATATAATTCATTCTCTAAATAAAACGATTCGAAAGTTCATATAATTTACATTTTTATTTCAATACTTCCTTTTAGACAACACTCTGGTCTCGGTCCAGAAGATCTCTCTGTTGTGGAAAATGTGTGTCATAGTATTTGTAAAGAAAATCAACCATTTGAACGTTTAGAAATGAAAAAAGAAGATTTATTGAAAATGTTTGCCTACAATGAATTCAAATGTCGGATAATTCGCGATAAGATAGATACACCAACTACTACAGTTTATCGATGTGGTCCTCTTATCGATCTCTGCCGTGGACCACATGTTAGACATACAGGTTTGTTCTTATTTTTTTGAAAATAATCATCTAAGTTTATGATTAATGAATATCTTAGGGAAACTATTCATCGTTTACTTTGTATACATTTATATTACTGTGGATTTTTCTGGAGTATATTTGACACTCGAACTGTTATGACTGCGATAGAACTCACCAATTAGAGTTCTACAGATTTCCATGTAGCTTAACGTCCCGACTTTACCAATTACACGCTTTGACCTATCACGATGATCCTTATGTCTAATACTGAGTTTATCTTAACTCCTGTTGGTCTCCCGATATGTATGTCCTCTGTCTTCAAACTTTAGTCTGAAAAAGCGAATACAGCAGAAAAGCTTCTATTACGATATTCCAGGCACCTAATTTATCTCAAACCCCCATTATCAAAACTCAAGACACCCCGAAATCATACTTTACAAGCAATTATGCCGTAGGCGACAGAGAACGGATCAAATGGGACACAATTAATTAACAATAATTAAGGAATAGTAAAACATCTAACAATAGTTAGTAGGTTCACTAGAATATTAGAATATAATAATCTAGTGTTAACGGTTTGTCTAAATATATTTCTTTTACGTATAATTTCATAATACATTAATTAAAACAATAATAAGATTAGTCACGCTATATCAGATCTAGAATTCACAACCGAGAAAAGTGAAACAGATTAACACTAGATAATACTTAATTCAGTACAATTACAAGCAGTCACGCTCAGCGAGTCAGGAGTAAAAATCATTGACAGGAAGTGAAATCACATGTTTAATAGTCAGTAGGCTAAGCGACTGTTTGTCCATGCACAGTGATTGATCATGATTCACTTTCACTACCACGTATCAATCCAATTATCTGAGAATTTTATTATGGAAACATAAACAATATTTCTTCATAAGTTAGTCCCAAAAGTTCCAGCTTCTCCAATACTCGCTTCGTTTCAATATGGACTATGGTATTGTTAAAATTATCATAGATGAGTATCTTTGTTGATGAAGATGTTCTGGCATATAGGTCATGAAAGTTTTTTCTGCTAAAAAATGTGGTAAGGTTTGATACATAATTGTATTGTGAGAAAATTTACTAGGTGTGATATTCTAAGCTGGTATTTGATAAAGCACAATAACTAAGTATTATTCAGAGAGAGTGAAATCAGTGACTTTCGAGATTATATTTTATGGAAATGTTAGCGTTTTTTTCTTCAGGAAGTAGTGTAGTTTGGTGCCCACCATTAACTCCCATATGACCGATTAATAGTAATAATGCCAATGAAATATAGATCTTACCTAACTTCGCATGTATTCCGTCTACTTTACATGTTTAGAAGAGTGGTATATAAAAAGTCGAGGTATGGGAGTTTTTCGGATGGGTATAAATATCTAGTTCGGCAGAAATGAAGAGAAATAGACGTGGATTAAAGTGGCAGTTATTCATGACTACTCAATGAATAATAGGTGACTTAGTTTATACATGTGATTAATGTATAAATTTTCACAGTTCCAATTACGAATTGGTGTAAGCTAGACCATCATTAAAAACTTGGAAGCACTGCATGTCGGTTTCGTCCATTTCGTCCTAAGATATGACTCCAAAGCACTGTGCATCCACGACCTCGCATCCTGGATTTGAAAGCAGTATCTTCGGTCTTGCACACAAACGTTTAACTTCTGCATGTCTAATTTCAATCAATTCACGGTATTGCACAAATCTCATCCATAACCTGTGGTGGATAACCTTCTCACACCCAAAACGGTTGAACTTCATTGGTCACGACTTCTCAATAGAACTTCATGATACCATATTTGGTGGTCTAACTAAAATCAACTAGTGATTCAATCTATCAACATTCTACAATTCCAACATATCCCTATATACATATTACATTTACATTTTATGCAATCATAAGTTATCTATTGATTTTTCTAGGTTGTATAAAGTCTCTATCAGTCACCAAATGTAGTTCCTCTTATTGGGAGGGTCGCACGGACGCGGAAACTTTACAACGTGTCTATGGTGTTTCATTTCCAGATCCAAAACGTTTGAAAGAATGGAAACACATTCAGGTAAACTGATAATAATCTAAATTAATTTTGTTTTTATAGTAAACTTTTCTTATCAAAAGGAGGCTTAGTGGAGATTTTAGTAAATTAATAGCTGAATTCATAAGTCAATTAAAGCTAAATCACAATGGAAAACCCGAAGCATTGGACAGCCGTTTAATCCTAGTACGGTACTTCTCAGCAGTGCGCATCCACGACCCCACTCACGGGATTTGAACACAGGACCTGTCGATCTCGCACGCGAATGCTTAACCTCAGTGAAGTTTAACTGGGTTTGTTGTGAGATAGTAACTCACTGAAGACAATGGTGGACGTTGGAGCGATTTCGTGGATTGATTGAAGTCAGACTTTAACACCGTTGGATGGCGGCTCAGTGGTCTAGAAATTAAGTGTTTGCGCGCGAGATCAACATGTCCTGGGTTCGCATCTTGCGAGCGGGATCGTGGATACCCACTACTGAGGAGTCCCGCACTAGAATGAAACAGCTGTCCAGTTCTTCCAGGTTTCCCATGATGGTCTAGCTTTAATTAAAGCATGAATTCATTTTTTATTTATAATCATGGATTTCTGATTGCCAACTATTAGCGTTTTCATTACGCTACTTCTGAATGATTCTCCATATCAGTTTTTCACCAGTCTACTACTACACTGTCAAGCATCTCGTAGATGTCGGCCGTGGTTGTGCATACGTAACATATACTTTATTAAAGAGCTTTAAATCTTCGCACTAGTGTTAAAATTCAAACTAATATTAAGAGCTTACCTAAAGAATCAAGACGATGTTGACTATTTTAAGGACCTGTGCAACGGTATAACATTCCCATCATTAACATCGATTTTGTGGAATAAATTGAATGTCATATTATACTTAGCCAACATGCTCTGTTTTGTTTCTTAGTTAGTCGCGAGTTATTCAGTGTAAGCGAACCATATCAGCATGATTTAATTCAATTAGTTAGAATAAACATCCGATATAGCGAAAGAATGGATCTTGTGTGACATAAATAATTCATGGTTGTTCTTAGTCATTATAAAATAAGAATTATTTTGAATAATCATTCTATGAAATTCGAATTGAAATGTTTCACATTTTAAGTACTTCTTACTATCGAAGGTTTTATTTTTATTCTAACTAGACCATTCAATTTAAGACGTTTTTTATACATAAGATTAAAACTAATAGACTGACCGTTGAAAACTATTGATCGCATTGTAGACCATTAATTCAAGAATCTAGTCTGTTAAACCCCCGTTATTTAATAACTATTAGTTAGTCTTTTTTCATTGTTCATCCAATATACTGATAAGTCAAATCATTGTGGTCATAAATTTTCATCGACTTAGGTAGTTAAGACACGCGTTATGCATACTTAACTCTAGTATCTACACTAACGTGCAACGATAGCTGTCGTAAGATTAGGTCAAAGGAAAGATAGGAGTGATAAGACTAAACTGTGTCCTCAGCACCTGCAATAATTAACTATTAAATTGAGTATAGACTTCCTAGTTAGAATCCTTTGTATAATATCTAGTCCATAATTGATCGATTGATTGGAGCTATTGACTAACATATTTTAAAATCTGTTAGTAGGGCAGATGCTCTCTCTCAACATTATGAAGTGTCATTCTGTATTTTGATTCTTTGATATCATCTGTTTATTTTGGACCATATTTCATATGTCTAACATTACGTTACAATTGATATCTCGTCCTTTTTCTCCTTGTTCATTCTTATGTTAGTTTTCTCTATCTTTGTTGATATGAGATGTAGTACTTACTGTGGGTTGAACCAGGATACATTTGTACCTGCTCAGTCAGTTACAACGTAGGTCCAGGCACATATGTGCATCGGTCCAAGTTGCCATACCTCATTAGCACAACAAGATAAACATCGGATTCATAGAAGTAGTTAATTCAGTAGTGGCAATATATAAAAGAAAGATTGCATATAAGGACATAGTACATAGTCTTACGTTATCAGTTATCGTAGTTATTAGTTGAAGTTATAGACTATATTTTCTGTGATTATTTTTTTGTCTACTTTAGGAAGAAGCAGCTAAACGTGATCATCGTAAACTTGGAGTTGAACAAAAATTGTTTTTCTTTCATGAATTATCTCCTGGTAGTTGTTTTTTCTTGCCTGCTGGTGCACATATCTATAATACATTAGTTTCATTTATTCGTTCTGAATATTGGAAACGTGGTTTTCAAGAAGTAATCACTCCAAATATTTATAATTCTGCATTATGGGAACAAAGTGGACATTGGCAACATTATAGTGTAAGTTTTTTATTGTTGTTTTTTTGTTCTCTATATCAGTGTACATTTTTTGTATAATGTTATTTTTATAGTTCAATTTCTTTTTTTTTAAAAGCGCACATTTCAAGTCTATGAAATTTATTACTGTTCCATTCATTTATTTTAATGTTTAGGAAAATTTATTTAAAATTGAAGTTGAGAAGCAAACATTTGGTTTAAAACCTATGAATTGTCCTGGTCATTGTTTAATGTACGCGAAAGAGATTCGTTCACATAAAGAATTACCATTGCGTTTTGCTGATTTTGGTGTATTACACAGAAATGAATTCTCAGGTGCTTTATCTGGTCTTACTCGTGTTCGTCGTTTTCAACAGGATGATGCGCATATATTTTGTCGTGAAGATCAGGTAACGAATCCTTTTGGAATTATTCATATTATATGTAAATACAACATTTGAACCTTTTTTCAATAGACTCTTGTCATATGAATTGTAAAGCTTACTCATTTGCTGTGCTCACTTTCATGTATTTGACTTCGAGTCATATGCTAACTATGAGGGTAAGTGGTACTACGCAGTTTTATAAACCGGAGCTGAGTGAGCGGGTTTCGAACCCGGGAATCAATAGCTGAAAGTTGAATAACGCTTTCTGACAACCTGAGCTACTACTTCACTTATGTATGAACAGCGTTTACAAATATCTTTTTCTTGCGCCGAAAACGGTATTTTGATAATATGATCCGGCAAGACATAGATTCCACTATATTTGTAACTCATCAGCAAGTCTAAATTTTTCATAGTTTAGATGATATTTAATATTATGACAATAAGACTGCATTTTTCGATTTGTTTTATTTGTTTTGCCGAGAATGCTGTGTTAGGATTAATGATTTCGCATTTTAGATTGAGGTACTCGAGTGTTATATTGCTTTGTAAATCTTGAAACATAACTGATTTTCATACAGTTGGTTTGCGCTCAATATGAAATGTCCTGGTTTTGGTTTCAAGGTTCTGGGTCGTGGATGCGCACTGCTGATGAGTTTCATAGTGGGACAAAACGGCCATCCGGTGCTTTTAGATTTTCACTGGTTGTCCAGCTAAGACCAGTTCGTGATTCAAAATCTGTGGAAATTTAAACAAATTGATGACAATCGCAATGACTATTTTCTTCTTTGATTTTTTTCAAGATTAAAGATGAAATCAAGAGTTGTTTGGATTTTTTGGGTCATGTGTACGGTTTATTTGGTTTCTCGTTTGAATTATACTTATCTACTCGTCCAGAGAAATTCATGGGTGCAATTGAAATGTGGGATCGTGCTGAAAAGGTATTGTTTTCCAGCGTTTTATATCCAGTGTATACAAAATAAGTTAATTTTCCAGTGATTCCATTATAATGAAAGGAGAGGGCTTTAAGACAAGTGATTTTTGTGTTGCATTATGTCCTTGTTTCTTTATGATTCACAACTTGATTTTAAATGTTGTCTGAATTCTGCAAGATTCCTGAACAATTGTATCTAAGTCTTATACACGTTAGTCAGTCAGTCATGCACCACATAGAACCTGGTACACATGTACATCGATCCAAGTTGTCATACCATGCTATAACAGCGAAATAAAATGATTTCAAGACAAATTTCACAGTAGTAGATGTAGTAACAGCATCAGTAGTAGTAGAAAAGTTTATTTATAAAAAATATAATAGAATCGTAAAACTAATCTTCGGGACTCAGGTTCTAAAGAAAGACAAGAAGTAAATTCATCTGCACCAACCAAGTAGTCAACACCTATAAATATGACTCAATGAAATTAACAGTGACTGCAATGAAAATGTACTGATGCCACACTTTTGTTTTGCTGCTCCTAGCATTCTTCCAGTCTACTACACTAACTACCATCACGCGTTAGTAGTAGTTTATGTTGGAATAATCATAGATTCACACTATCGAGTTGATTGTTTACAGTAACAATTCACTATTTTATCAACTGCATTCAAAGTTCGTTATCGAAACATTCATACACATAGATGTGAGTAACTTTTCCCAGTCGATAGCTTTCCTTCCGAATTGGATAAAACTTATTTTCAAACGTTTTTGATATTGTCAATATGAATTTTAAGAATATATACAAGATTTTCCCCAGAAGTATTCCTTAAATAAAGTAAAGAATTAAATGTTCATATATTCAATACTCTATGCCTAAATATATTCATTATAATAATTTCTAGTTGAAAAATTATTAAATTTCCCCAGCATTCATTAATCTTTAGATTGTTTCGAACAACAGATTGGTTAGTTTAAACAACGGATCAACAGTAGCGTAAAATTCAAATTCAAAATCGCTGTATTATCTAAAGGTTATTCAGTCGAATTACTTGACTGTCAGTCATTCCTTTATTCAGCATTTTTGTGTCGTTACAATTTATCAGAAAAAAGGATAATTCTATCTACTTTATTTGGTTCTGACACTAGCATCAATTTCAAAGGCCGTATATACTTTCTCAATCAAAATAATGTATGTGTAAGTGTTTTGAAGCAGAGTTGGATAGTTGCTACAACTTTAATGCAGGACACACGTTTCGTCGCATTCGGGACTCATCAGCTGGATGTAATTTTCACATCCAAGTGTTGATATTCATTGAGGGACTCAAACTTAATACATTTCACTTTAAACACCAACGTATTTTCTATCCATTTTCTCACTGAGTCTAGATAGCTATTGGTTTGTTCAACGGGAATGAATCATCATTCAGTAGTAAGGATTTAGATCTGGTTGTTGGAATCAGTTGGTGAATGGATATCGCATTGATGTCTATGGCGAAAGGCAGTGGGTTTGAGTCCTGGGTTGAATAATATACTTGGATGCAGGTACTTCCAGATGACGAATCCCAACTGTGATAGTATGCGTTTCCTGGATTCCATTGCTAACTACTGTCCCGCTCTTCCTGAAATACTTGTGAGTTAATGATAGTTTCAAGGTAATCCGCGCAATATGCACATACGACAAGAGTCTGAACAGTTGCAGATATTAATACCAATAACCGGGAGTATATATATATATCCTTAATCCATGAAGTGTGCGCATATATTAGCTCTTTTTTGTTTGTTTGCTTGCTTATCTAACCATGTTAGCAACTAAAAGAAAGTTTAGATGAAGTTGGTCTGAAATGGGAACTTAATCCTGGTGATGGTGCATTCTATGGACCCAAAATCGACATAACTATAATGGATGCTTTACGTCGTCGGCATCAATGTGCAACAATACAATTAGATTTTCAATTACCAGTCAGATTTAATCTTTCTTATGCGAGGTATGCTTTATCTATTTTCAAATCAATTATGAATCAGTCTTAGCAACTATTTGTATGTAGATACAGTTAGTGATTTTACTGTAATATTCATTCAGTTAGTAATTCGGCAACAGAACCTGGTACATATGTGCAACAGCTCAAATCAATTAGATTTTCAATTACCAGTCAGATTTAATCTTGCTTATGCGATATATGCCTTATCTATCTTCAATCAATAATGAGTCAGTTTTTCTCACCATGATTTCAGTTTTAGCAATTATTTGGGTGTAGATACAGTTAGTGATTTTATTGCATTATTCATTCAGTTAGTCATTCGGCAACATAGAACGTGGTACATATGTGCAACAGTTCAAATCATTACATCATATTATCTACAATTGTTATGCATATATCAAATATCTAAGGATGCCAGTGTAACTGTGTCGTGTTTTTTTAATGCAAAGATAAGAGAGATCACAAACGACCTAATATCTCTAGCTACACTTGTGCATGTTATTATCATTCGGAATTAGGTACGTGTGTCATGGAAACGAATGATGAAGAATAATTGTTGATCAAATAAGTTCTATACATAGCTAGATTTTTCTCAGTATAAATATCTCAATTTTATGGGACTAATATGTCTTCTTAAATGAAAGCTCGAATCAGTTTCCTTGACACTTCTAATAACCATTATCAGTCTACACGGCAAATTGAGCGCTAGAGTAAAGGCTCGGAATGTGAGAAGAACGCTTTACTCCAAGGTTAGTTCATGTAGAGAAAGTCGAGGATATTCATAGTGTTTCAGATAGCTCTGGGCTTCTGGGAGATTCTGGAATCGTACTAAATATAGTCGCAGCATTGGTAATTTTCCAGTCAGAAATGTGACACATGACTCTTCACTTACTATATGTTTTTGAGGAACATCCCTTCAACACTGATTGGATAAGATGCTTTACAGCGTTTCAAGTGTCCCTCTGGACTTTCTCGAGGAACTTTTTTCCCTAACAAGCACATATGCTAAGGACAACTCAAGTTATCCAGCTTTTCTTTTTGTTATTACGTGTCAGTTCTTCAGAGAAATAATTTCTATGACGTTTTGCTATGTCATACTTCTGTAATGATCTTTGCTGTTATCATCTCATTGGTTGTTGTCGCATTTTTAAGGTTTGGTTCGTCATATGCCTAAAAGTCATTGCATGTTCCTATAGAACAAGAGTTATTCTTTTCTCATCGTTCAACGTCTGTACGGAATTTAAAGTTATCCCGTCCTCTTTAGTTATATTGAATTACCACAGTGTTATTTTTATTATTGCGTGTCAAATGTTCGGTCTATTTGATTTTTTTGTTGCGTTATACCAGAAAAATCTTAAAATCGTTCATAGATAAGAATTTATCGTAGGCTAATTGGAAACTTTAATAGGCTTAATCGTTTTATCAATCATTTAACAATATAAACACGTCTACTATAAGTAACATAATTGAATAGGTGATCTGAAATTGTTTCACTCACTGCACTTCATCTAATGTCTCAATGACGTAGTGATTATAAAGAATACCGAATCATTAGTTAATGAGCTTAACTTTCAACTGGGTATTAACAGTTTTCAACAATCGCATTTTGCTTAATTCAGTTTTAGTCACTCATAAGATCACGCTAGAAATTAATACTTAAATTCTAATATATCATCTTATACTTCATTGGAATAATTTTTAAATTTCTATCGATGTCAATGTAACTAATGCTTTTGTCAAGCCTTTCTTTTTAGTTCGAGACATTAATGTCTCAAATTAACTCGGCGCCCAAATATTGTGAAACTATTCGTTCAAATTTAGACGAAAGTTCTTATTTATTTCTTTTTAGTTGTTGTTATTAAGTTAAGGTAGTTGAAATTACATTGACAGAAAATCTTAAATCTGTTTTGTGTTAGTGGATATTTGTTAACAAACGTATCTCTAATCTTAAAGGTCCTGACATTCTTCATTAATGCATATACAGTATCATAGTCTGAGATGTTACAACTGTACTCTTCAAATTCTTGTTGACTTCTTATAGGACTGAGATATTTATATTGATTTATTTCAACGTAGTATAGAATATATTTGTCAAGTCTTTTGTGTTTCTCGAATTTAACTGTTGCTTGCTATCAAATTCTTTGTGTATTATCCACTCTTCCATTGATTTCTCATCGTTGATGTAAATATTTGTGAGATTTCAAATTAATCTGCTCTTGTTGTACATATTCTCTGTTCCTGCTGTTATCCTCCAGAGTGTATCTGTCGTGCGTGTACAGTATCCCGTTACTATATAATTTTGCTCTTTGAAAATAGGGCTGTAGATCTAAATTTAAATTCTCAATATACATACGATATGCTTATAATGCATGCATTGTACCCATATTCTTAACTGTATAGTTTATTTTCTGGATCAAATCTATTTTTTAAAAGGGAAGACGAGTGTAGTGTATGCTACTTATATCGAAAAATATAAGTAATATGTAGCAGCAGCATTCGGAAGTGGAATGCCTGTCAGCAGAAGATTGAGAAGATCGAATTGAAGAGAACAGAAAGGAAGACAGAGTAATTGTAATAACAACAGGATTGAAATAATCGTGTAAAGGACAACCGAAGGAAAATTTGCAAATCATGTATTTATTGCACGATTTTAATACTTTACGAAAGCGCTTTATGATTTCGCACTAATCAATGAATCGATTGTCCCCATCAATTCCTCGGTCACTCCACTACTACTGAAATAATTATTTTTAGACCAATAGAATAATATTGTTTCCAAATCGATCCTCACCTCAGGTTTTTATTCCGAACGGTTACATGAGCTAAAGATATGAGTGTTGTGAGGAAAAAAACAAACATAGTTGAATTCTTCGATAATCTAACTTAGTAGTTGTGTAAGAGTTTGCTGTAGGTAGCCTTTTCGTTTCTATCTATTTTATATACATATTTACTCATATTATATCCTAATAACTTTTCATCTGTACATGTTGTTTATTATTTATCAGTGAAACTGATAATCTTTCTGGGAGTGATAATAATTATAATAATGTATCGAATACAACAAATGGTATATCTGACCATCATGAAGCAACCAATCATCAAACTGACTTAAACATTCACCGACCTGTCATTATTCATAGAGCTATTTTGGGTTCAGTCGAGCGAATTATAGCGATTCTCACAGAATCTTATGGAGGTAATATTTGTATATATGTATATATAAGTGTATGAAGACGAAAAAATAGTTTTCAGTTCATTACGGGTTGTCTATTTTATAGCTCCTCGTTAGCTTACATTTTTTTAATCGACAGTTCGAAAAAAAAATTACTAATCGAAATTCCGGATTTCTTCTTTCCTAATTCGCGAATCCTAGTTCGCCTATCGACTTATTGCTAGCACGATTAACCTTCAGGATCAACAAAATAATTTCGATCATCACTGGTCCACCGATATAAACATATACATTTTACTATTCTTAGTCTTCAGTCCGATAATGCAACTCCGAAAACAGGTGGTGCAGTAGTATATCTTTTATGAATCAACGAATGCAATAATATGGATTAATTTTCTGGGTCGCACATCGATATGACTATGAAATTACAAAGTTAGTATAACTACGCTGAATGTGCAAGTAAATGGAGGAGAAATATATACGTTTGATTCGCCATATTTAAATAATAATAAAACTTGTACAGCATTAATTTATAGATCCACTGGAAGCTTACAATAAGTAGAATACAGACGCACAATAATTCAGTTCTCTAATGATTATACAATATCAGCCTAAATGATAAATATATATTAGTTGTTTGGATTTTCCCCGTTGATATGTAGTACTAATTGATCAGTCTCTTTTTGAATATATGGATCCTATGCCGATTGCCTCGATACTGCCATCAAGTCACAAGCATTGTAAGCAGGGATGGATAGCGGCTAGCGGTGGAACCGAGGAAGCGAGTTTTATTCTGTTTGGGACTCTTCAGCTGGATGTACCTAGGTCCTAGTAACCCGTAAAATAAAATAGCCCCAAAAGTTATGCTTTCTTTGAACTTCCATCCGTTCGAATATTTTATGTGTATGTATCACATCATAGGGAAAAACTGGATATTCTGTTATAATTTATTGTATATATGATTCACCTATATTTTATTCATTTTGCATATTTTTCTCTTGTACTGTCACAGGGAAATGGCCATTTTGGCTTAGCCCCCGTCAAGTTTTAGTAGTCCCTGTTGTTTCAGCATGTGATGAATACGCGATAGATGTAAAAAATCGTTTACATGATGCCGGCTTTATGGTTTCCGTTGACACAGATCCTGGTCGTACTTTAAATAAAAAAATTAGAAATGGACAGTTGCTTCAAAATAATTTTATTCTAGGTAAGTATTAATCATTTTTGATTAGTGTATATTTCCTTCTTGTAAAGAGTAAAGTCTTGTGTATGACAAATAATGACCCATTATTTCATTGAATAAGGATATATAAAGAAAACTCAGTGAAGATTTTCTTTTCGACGATTTCATTGTCTTGAACTGTACACTCGTAATTCTTTGGTAAAAATAGTAGTCTACGGTAAAATAGAATGGTGTTGAATAGTTTTTAGGAAAAAGTTGAAATGGTTTATCTTAGTGTTTGGACAACTGTGGACGCACATTCTACTGGCAAAATGTTGAAATCTTCAATAGAAACAGTTTATAGCACGATACTGCTTTAATGTTTACAAAAATCAAACAACACTCTCCTGTCTTCCTATTGGATAGTTTAAACTAATGAAATTGTAGAAAAGAAAATTTTCTTCATTGAATTCTGTCTTATATCCTTCTTCAAAGTTTTGTATACTGAAATTTGGATAGGATATTACTCTTTGCAACACTAGTGTTACTAATTTCATTGTTGAGTTTTTAGGGGTTCTGTGTTCTGTTCTCCAACCTAAATGATAGTTTGATTGTGAAAATCTTTTATTGCCCTTCTGAAATTTTTTTAGCATCTACTTTGTGATGTAGAAGTTTTCTTTTAAAAGTAGCACTGTAATAATATTGAATCTCTCTATGAAATGCTCCGTTACAAGTTTGCATACTTGCATGTGTGTGATGAATGTTCATTAGTTCAATCAAATTGATCAGTTTATTACCATAGAAATCTGTGCCTAAATCTAATCTGGAATTCGTAGTTAGTTTCCTAACAAGAAAATGGTACGTCGAAGATATTTTTGGTGTTGATGTGATTAAAGGTAGTCAAAAACAAGCTCTGAACCTACTTTTTGTGCTGTTTTATACTCTCCAGGAAGGCGTAATTACTCTCCCTCGTTTGATTAGAATATACGCTAGTTTTCAGGCTTTTCTGTCGAGTATTAAGTACGTGTAAACATTTAGTTTTATAATTTATCGAGTGAAACTGTAATTCATGGGTGATCTTTGAGCAATATTAAAATGACCTCAAGAAACCACTTACTGCGGTCTAAATGAAGTCATAAATTAGCTTGTGAGGAATCAGGATTTGAGGTTTAAGTCAAAACTTAGGGTTACGAGTTAGAGCTATGGTGCCTGTCACGAGCTGCTACAAACTATAATACTAAAGTGATATTTACCCATATGGATGAATGAATCGGTTTCGTGCCAAAATCCATGACTAGTTATCTGATTGATTCGTCCATAAATGATAGGATAGGATAGGCTATTTAAATAATTTGATAGTTATTTTTTTTTCGTTTATTCATTTTTACTATGATTCATTTTCATTTTTCCGCTTCATAATAGTGGTTGGTGAAAAAGAAATTACTAATGGAACTGTCAATGTTCGTACACGGGATAACAAAGTTCATGGTGAGCATCCTGTTGAACATGTTATTGAACGTTTTCGTCAGTTGGCGGCATCAAGAACGCTGGAAGCAGAACAAGAATTTTAATGAAATATACAAGTTACTAAACTAATTTCAGTGTAATTGAAAATTTCATTGTTAATTCCATTATGTGTATTACATGGACTTTGTTTTTGATTTATTTTATCCTACCTATGTGTTTCAAGACTGAAGTCGTGTAAAATTCTCTTTGGGTTGCTGCGATTCGAAAAAGAGAGGAGAGGGTGTGTGAAATAATTACATGATACATTTATTTAATCCCAATTTCGTACTTCATATTGTGTAGAATTGGAAACGTTATGACAGTATCTTGTATTGTACACGAATGAGTTTGTAATTCAGAATAACGATTTTTAAGCTGTCGTTGTGTCTTTCACGGTTGGTAGTTCAGTCGTGAAGCTTTTGTCCATATTGGCCAACCTAATAACTCTGTTGTTACGAAATCAGCTAGAACCGGCGAACGGAACGAAAGTCAGCAACACGACAAGACAAGCCAAGCTATACCACTACACCCCAGTTCTGCTAAATAGAGGGAGAAGACAAGATTCAGCCTGGAAAAATATTTACTCCACAAATGGCTGTAAGCACGAACGAACTAGCACACACCCCATTCGTATATATACAATACAGAAACATCCTTTGCAAACGTCATAAAACAGCACACTAATGAACCAACAACATTTAAGGTCCTTCCGGGTTGGAAATGCAAAACTGGAGGTAGAAGTGGGGGCTTTTGGCACGAACATGTGAAGTTTACATGTGCATAATGAAACTGCAAAAACGGGTTTACCAAGTGATTTCTGGAGATCGAACACCTCCAACGCATTGACGATTGATTGACGCCCCCCCCCATCCTGGCAGGCTCGGTTGCCTTTGCCCCCTGAATGCCCTGGTACGGCCGAGAGTGGGGAGAGTCCGCTCTCCCTCTCGAAATACTCTCACACGGCCACGCGTATACAGCCTCTGCCAGGGAAGTCCTACTCATTGCCTTCTCGTGGCGGGGGTGTTGTTTACGAAAATGAGAGGACGAAAAGCGAATGTCCGGCGCTTTAACCGGATTCCAAACCAAATCAATGGTGCACATGGGCTCCAGTATCCTGCGGGAACGAATGGCGTATGAACCAATCGTTGGTCACCGGCTACCATGGGACTGCATCTCCTTACGATGCTCCGCTGCCTTGTGGGTTAGACCTTTAGGTCCCCTAAGATAACCACCTGCTTCGGTTTGGGCACCCGGGCAGTATCACAGCCCACACACAAATGATGAACTCTTTATGTCTATGGAAATTACTTTTGTCGCTTTGAAAAACAATCAATCGATTCAAATTATGATCACTACAATTATTGTCATTATTAATACTAATATTATTATTACTACTATTATTGTCATTATTGTTATTATCATCATTATTATTATTATTTTCCACATTATTCACCTTCTTTTATACTTATACAGCGGCTCGTCTTTGGTGGAATTCCGACTGTATCTAAACGTTCTCGAGTCACTGTCCGGTTGAAAATTGTATGTTACCACCGAATACGAGGACTGAAGCAGATTTTCTGAAACCACGTGCATCATTCAAACTGGCTGCCTTCAACGTTCGCACATTTATGCAGGTCGGACAACAGATAAGGCTGGCTATGTCTTTGGAAAGTCTTAATATCGACGTGTGTTGTCTATCCGAGACCCGTATTCAAGACTCTGGCGAAGTACTACAAATTCGATCTCCATCTGTCGCTTCGAAAAGCTTGTTTTACGTGCGCTTATCCGGGGACCCTGTGGCATCTTCGTCTGGTCTTGCTGGCGTTGGTGTCGCACTAAGCGCTAGAGCTGAGGCAGCACTAGTCGATTGGATCCCCATTAACAGTCGGTTATGTGCTGTTAGATTAGAAAGTTCCATCAAAGTGAGAAGAAATCGGCGTGAGAAAAGATGTCTTTTCGTCATCTCCGCCTATGCCCCGACAGATTGCAGCCCGGATGCAATCAAGGATGAGTTTTACCACCAGTTATCAGTTCTTCTCCAGAAAGTGCGTTCGACAGATATTGTAGTACTAGCCGGAGACTTGAATGCTCAGGTCGGGCGTCTAGGCACAGAAGAGAGTCGTTTAGGTGGCCGATGGGGACTCGTTGGTCGCAGGTCAGATAACGGGGACCGTCTACTGCAACTTTGCACAGACCACAACCTGTTTCTGGCTAGCACTAACTTTCGGCACAGTCATCGCCGATGTGCCACCTGGCGTCCTCCCTCTGCATCTCAAGCCTGGACTCAGATTGATCACATCGCGATCAGCTACCTCTGGCGTGGTTGTGTACAAGACTGCCGCTCCTTTTGGAGTACCTATCTGGACTCTGACCATGCCTTGGTCTGCGCCAATCTTGCCTTACTTTTCAGTGGACAACGAAGTGACCACCATCAACGGATTGATGTTAGCAAGCTGGTTGCAACTTCTGTTGCAAGTAAGTATCGAACCGAGCTAGCCTCAAGGTTAGCTACCACTCCACCGAAAAGTATAGATGAGCATTGGTTGCAATTGCATGACGCCATGAAAATGGCGGGAACAGTCAGTTGTGGGTTTGCGAAACGTCCCGCTTTTAAGCACTGGGTTTCTTCTGGTTCCTTACAACGCATTGAAGCCCGTCGGTCTACTCCGGGTGACCGTGAGTTTGACCATAAACGAAGGATGCTATGTAAGGAAATCGGGCAAAGCTTGCGTAAGGACCGAGAAACCTGATGGTCGAAGCGTGCTAATGAGCTGGAAGCAGCAGCTGCATCTGGTAACTACCGGAAGCTCTTCCAACTCATCCGAGCCACTGGCAGCAAGAAGTCTGGTGTGAGTGAAACAATCTGCGAGGATGATGGGATGCCAATCACTAACATCCATCGACGTCTTGGACGATGGGCAGAATTTTTCGAAGGGCAGTTCAACTGGCCTGCTGCTCCGGCAACATCGGTCAGACTGTCCTGCCCTCCATGGCCGGTGACGACTGATCCACCAAATGAGGAGGAAGTCCGCAAGGAACTCCAACTCTTGAAGCGTTACAAATCACCTGGCCCAGATGACTTACCTCCGGCTCTTTTTAAAGATGGTGGTGACTTTTTGACTAAGGAATTGACGACGTTGTTTACAAAGGTTTGGGAACTAGAGAGTGTACCAACGTCATGGAATGAGTCGATAGTTGTCCCTATCTTTAAAAAGGGTTCACGTTGTTCCTGTAACAACTATCGGGGGATAAGTCTACTTCCGATTGCGTCCAAGCTATTGGCTTCCGTCATACTTCGTAGGTTGTTCAAAACCCGAGAAAGATTGACTCGCGAGGAGCAGGCTGGGTTTCGTTCTGGTCGAGGATGTATTGATCATATCTTCACCCTCCGCCAAATGTTAGAACACCGCCATACTTATCAAAAGCCAACAATCGTAGTGTTTCTTGACATCAGGGCTGCCTTCGATTCGTTGGATAGGACTGTTCTCTCGGATTGTCTATTGAAGAAGAGTGTGCCTGAGAAGTTTATTAACATCCTAAAAGCCCTATATAAAAACACCTCAGGCAGAGTGAGGGCATACAACCACCTCTCTCGATTGTTCCATTCGAGCAGTGGGGTTAGACAGGGTTGCCCAATCTCACCATTCCTCTTCAACTTTGCCATCAATGACATTCTGGAAACAGCTCTGATGGATGTAAGTAATGGCGGTGTGGATCTGCCGCCTGGAGAAAGACTTCTCGACCTTGAGTATGCGGACGATATTGTCTTACTGTGCGATAATGCCCAAGGCATGCAATCCGCACTTAATCAGTTGGCAATCAGTGTCCGTAGGTATGGTATGTGCTTTGCACCTTCGAAGTGCAAAGTACTTCTGCAAGACTGGCAGGATCCTAATCATGTACTCACTCTGGATGGTGAGCAGATAGAAGTAGTCGAGAAGTTCGTGTATCTAGGTAGCTGCATAAGTGCTGGTGGTGGCGTGAGTGATGAGATCAATGCACGAATAGTGGAAGCCAATCTGGGCCATCTTTGGCGCCTTCGTGATGTTAGTCTGGCCGTAAAAGGTCGGATCTACAACGCGTCGGTGAGAGCAGTTTTGCTCTATGCTTGTGAAACCTGGCCTCCGAGTTGAGGACGTTAGACGACTCTCTGTGTTCGATCATCGCTGTCTCCGAAGGATTGCTGACATTCAGTGGCAACACCATGTCAGTAATGCAGAGTTCGGCATCGTGTGTTCGGGCACAGAGATGATAATTCAGTTGGTGTCACCATCTTGAAACACCGACTTCGGTGGCTTGGACATGTTCTCCGAATGTCGTCCCAGAGAATTCCACGTCGTGCATTATTTGCCGACTCTGGGACTGGTTGGAAAAAGCGGAGAGGTGATCAGTGCATGACATGGTGTCGTGGCATGAAAGAAAGCTGCAAAGGACTGGCTTGTGTTGGTCCTTCACGACTCCCTGGCTGGGGTCCGAGAGATGGTGCTACACAGTGGCTAGAGACGTTATCAGATATGGCTCGGAATAGAAGCCAGTGGCGATCCTGCTGTAACCTTCTTTTACTTTCTTCATAAAAAGTGGTTGTGTCTCCTTTACCTGAAAGATTTCTTCTGATTGTACCTCTTCGTCATTGCTCTCTTTTTCTTTTGCGTTCCTTAGTTTTTTTTCTTTTTTCTTTCTACTTCTCTTCGAATTCCCATTGTTTTGTGTGGCGCATATATATTGGCGCTCTCTTGTACCAATATTTATATGTTCAAATAAAATAAATAAAATATTAGGCCATAATATAATCATTTATGTACCAAACTTCACACACACTTTGTAGTATCACATAGGGGGGGGGTACGTACTGTTACTGTAAAAATGCACGCAATAAATGTAACTCACCTGAATTAACATGGAATAAACTGGTTACACTGAACGAGAGTTCACACTTTCCATGTAGAACAAAGTTTATCCTAAATCGATGTAAGGAAATATTGACTTCAAAATGTCAGACTGAACGAATTTTTCACCTTCACCCCGACCTAAATTCATGTTGAATTAATACAAAAAATACTGACTTGAATAATGTCATCTTGTCCCGTCGAATCAGACTCAAAATATACTGCATAAACTGTTTCAATAGACTGGATGCATGTTGCAGCACTCAATAAACGAAAATATGTAATGAATTATTTTAGAAAAGTGTTTATCCCCATAGCTTAATCGGGAAACGTCTGTTAAAATGAACATGAAGTACAAGATCAATACCGAAAGTTAGAAAGTCGATAAATCTACTTTATGTGAAGAATATCTCCCAGGTCACAAGCATTTTTAGGAATAGGTATAGCCCACAAGCTTATAAAATCTTTACAATTAATAGTGTACAAGCCATGTGATAAACAATAAAAGAAGACAGGCAAAACATGGTCTACGAGATAAGAGAAGAAGTGCTAACTGAGACAAAGTGGTTGGCATCTTCATTTACGTCTACGTGAGTTCTAGCTGGCTGTTTGACGCCATAACATAGCGTCGATTCTACCGATGCATGTAGAAAGCTATGGACATGACATTGGCTGTGAAATCGCGATGGGGTAGTGCTTGGATGTATCAAAAGAAAATGGTATAAACATCAACAATTAATTTCATATAAACACATTTGTAAGTATTTGATTCAAGCAAAACTACTTACCGGTTGTAGT